ACGGTTGGTGCCAGAGTTCGCAAGGACCAAAGAGCAGTAACGATTCCGCTTCAGGTACGCTTACCAGTATTTCAAACAGAGATTGGACCGCGACCAGCTTGGCGTATGTATAGACTCCGAGCCCTTATTGGGCATCACGGCTCCACTCCGCGCTCAGGTCACTACAGAACGCTGCTGATTCACTGGGAGTCCACCCAGGAAGATCCCCAGTTGTATTACACAGACGATTCCTGTATGGCGCGTCGCCCCACAAATGCACAACTCCGTGTGTTGATGACTGAAGTCTACCTGATCTTCCTGGAGTGCGTGGGGTATGTCAGCTCACTGTAGATGCGGTAAAACAACCACTCGGGTGCTGCACTGTACATGCTTGCATGCCTTGCATTATATCAGTGCCCTCTTGATTCGCCGCCCTTTTCCGGCTTTTCATGCATATGCCAGCTTTGAGCGTGTGTGCAGGTCATTATGCTTATCTTTTCTACATGGCGACTCACACTTTGGTGGGAACACCGACGGATTCAGCTGCAGTTCCAAGCCTAGATGCTGCCTGTATGCCCTACAATTTACTACATGACGTGCCTTTCGGTATTTATCAGTCCAGACAGCGTGCCCAGTGGATGGATGCCAGAGGCACCTACAATTCACTTGATGATGTACCACACTGTCTTCAGAACCGATGCACGACATCCAGTTTTCAGGCACGTATGGCATCCAGCAGTGGTTCACATGGCACACCTGCGCAGCTATTGGTCCTGGTTCCGGCAACATCTGATTCTCTGGATGATGTACCACATTGTCTTCGAGACCGAGGAAGTGAACCTATCTCATGTATCACGATGGATATGCTACATACCTGGGCCGATCAGCCTGCCTCTCAACTTCTTACTCCCCACCACCTTGCTCAATTTTTGCATCGGTGGGGTTTTTCAGCCGTGGATATTGTTGAATGGGGCATTTATTACTACTTTGAGCAGGCTCCATGTACAGATGCAGAGTGGAAACAGGTGCTTCTTCAGCAGCTACACCGCAATGTTTATCAGCTTTCCATGTCTGGTGCCATATGCTATTTCAAACAGCTGCTAGTGGGTGCCCATCGGGAGGACTTTTATGAGGAGCTTTACACGGTGGCATGCCGTCGCATTCAGCTGGATGATCCTACTACTACTATGACCACTGTTCTTCACTGGCTATATATACTGGCCACGTATGGTACCTTGGTCTGATGCCTCTACAGCTGTTTCTTTGACTGCATGGCCTTCACAGTCTGGTGGGCCATGCTATCTATCAGCTTCCGATCCATTGCTCTTCAATCTTCTGTATGGTGCCTCTGATTTCGATGGTGTTGCTTCATCAACGGTCTATTTACAGCATGGGACTTCTTTGTACATGTACATACGGTCGAGTAGTCCAGTCCGTCTGGTTAGACCAATGCCATGTGTACAAAGGTCTAGTAGTCCAGTTCGTCTGGTTAGACCACGGTGTATATACGATCGAGTAGTCCAGTTCGTCTGGTTAGATCGATGCCATGTGTACAAAGGTCTAGTAGTCCAGTACGTCTGGTCAGACCGATGTGTATATACGATCGAGTAGTCAGCACGTCTGGTTAGATCGATGACTTGTGCTCTGTCTCACCTTTGTTAATGCTGACGTTGGTTTTTAAAACCACTCCTGCAGTGTTTGCCCACATGTGGCTAGCCCGGTGGGATTCACTGCTTTTGCTCACTCTGAGCCGATGCCACTGTGCATTGTAGCGTAGCGCGAGACTGCTGGACAGTTTGCGTCATACAAAGTACAAAAAAACGGCGAGCCGTGCTCGTGACATTCTCCGTCGCGGTGAGAGCCTACCTGCTCCGGCAAGGAGTGACGCCCATCCGGATGGGCTGCCAGACCTCACTGGCAAACTCAGCCTTCGCATTGCTAAGGCCAGCGGTCTTTATGCAGTCACTGGCCGGATCTTTGCGCATTGCCTTCGTACTGGGAAGCTCGTTTCTTGTGAAAATCCAGGCCGCTCTTACTTCTGGCAAACGACCATGTGGCTCACTGCCGTTGCCGATCTGCAGTTTGAGGAAACCCTTTTTCATAACTGCCAACACGGCGGCGAGCGTGCCAAGCTCACCCGCCTAGCCCACAATGTTCCTCTGCTACACGAGCTGTCACTTCTCTGCCCGGGGGAATCAAAATCTCATCGCCACCTGCTCTGGTCGCGATCCTCAGGTGCCTTCGACACAGCGGCCGAGAAGGTCTACCCTCGTGTGCTCTGCCAGCGTATGGCAGACATAATTGTCCGTGCTGCCGCCGAACGTGGCCACCCTGCACCTGCTTCATGCCTTGCGCCTGGTGCCTCCCTCCCCTGCAGGTTGCAGCTGGTGTGCAACCCCGCGGCAAGCGTGTGCCACCCCTTGTGCCCGAGTTTCGGCAGATTGTGGTTCTTCTAAGTCCCGAACCCCTCTTTCCAGGCGTGCGTAAGCTGGAAGATGATACTCCTCTTCCACCTGGAGTCTCATGCTCCCCCCCACTGCAGACGCTTCCCGCGGGCACTCGGATCCTGCGCCAGAGCGTCATTGGGGTTGTACCTGCTGGAGCGCAGGGATCGTGCTCGAGTAATTTAACCACCTTGTCCCCACCTGTGCCGGATCCCACAGCGGTCCCTAATGCCGAGGCGGAGGACGATGAGAACTTGGCCACCATGGAGGACAACCAGATGGACCCCGAAGCTTTCTCGCATTATGCTCTCCACTTGGGAGTGTCAGCCAGTGACGCAGCATGGCGTGACTGCATTCGCCACTTGTGTGACTTACTTGTCTCGGACCCACCGTCGAGGGGCGGACGAGGCACTGACGAATTCTCTTGGTCGTGCGGAGCTTTCTTTCATGCCAACAAGGTGGGTCTGCGTTCTAATACGTCATCGCACCCCAGTGTGAGCAAACTCTTGTGCGAGTATGTACGCCGGGTTGCCCCGGGCCACCCTTTCACCTCCTTGATGCTGGGCAAGAACCTCGTAGGTAGGGTGCATGCCGACAGGAACAATGAACCAGGACTGCCGAATGCAGTCTTGAAGATCTCCTCCTTTGAGCAAGGGGGATTGTGGATCGAATCACCTCGCGGCTCCGTCGCTTGTCCTGATCCTGACCACCCCGAGCTTTTGGGAAACGTTCTTGACTTTGAGGGCCGTAGGATAATTTTTTGATCCTAGTGGTAGACATTGTCAAGCTCCATGGTGTGGGGGCCCAAGGATCACGCTTGTGGCCTATGCGATACGTGATCACCACAAACTTCTTGACGATCAGAAGTCACGGCTCGTTGACCTTGGTTTCAGCTTCCCTGGATGCTCCCAAGCGCGCTGCCCAACAGCCGGTCCCGTGGCAGCCACCCGTAAGTCTGGTTTAGGTCCCGGTTCCTCAACTAGGCCACTACTTGGGACTCCGTCCCGCAGCATGCCAGAGGGTGATCGGATGCACAAGGTAGCCGTGGGCATCCCTTGGAAACCTCAAGAGTTCATCGAGCAAGCACTGAAAGCTGGGCACCCCCGTCACCTTTTGGACGGTGTGCCATCGCATTCCAAAACAGCCATCGACCGCCTTGCTGACATGTCGCTCCACGAGATAGGAGCCCAACGCACCGAGAAGCTCCGGCACTGGATCAGCAAGGCCCTTGAGTTGGAAGCCGAAGAAGAGGAGCTGCGCGACACGATGCCGCAACATTGCAAACGTGTCTTGGGTCGGAAGCGGCTGGTCCTCTTTAGGACCATGCTTGAGGAGTGTGGCCACGAAGATCTAAAGATAGCGAACGACATCGCCAAGGGTTTCGACCTCAGCGGTGCAATCCCGAGGAATCCAGCATATCGCCCCAAGTTGTCGCCCGCTTCGTTATCTGTCTCAGACCTACGGAGTTCTGCGGCTGTGATGAGAGAAGCAACTCTTCTCGCCACCAAAAGCTCCGGGGACGCAGAGCTTGATGAGGCCCTCATGGCGGCCACTGACAAGGAGGTCGCCAAGGGGCCTTCTGAGTCATAGCCACAGTCTCTTCGTCTCACGCCAGTTGGCCCCCTCGGCCAGCCACGCATACCGGGCGCCTGCTCCCGGGAATGACAAAACCCTCAGCCAGCAGGGTCAAGCCTTGCCAATTGTAGTCTACACTCTGCAGTGTCACTTTCAGCCTGCTGCTGACTCAGCATAAGCATTAATTCTAGACGAATGCATGCCTTTTCACTTGTCTTCTCACAAAGACTAGCCGGGGGTATTTTCATACTAGACCGATCAAGCCTTTTTGCATCGGTCAGCCTTCGGTTAGCCGCTACGCCTACAGGTCCAACACGGTGAAAAAGAGAGCTGAAGTGCTAGAGCAGTGCAAGCCTACTTAAAACTTGAATGAATGAAAAATTAGAGCACCTTCTGCATTCCGTTATTTGTGCCGGAGCTCAACCGAACGCTACGGATGAGTGTGGTCGGATAAGCCACGAAGTTTTTTCGGGCTTTGGCACTTTGCTCTTAAATTTCGATTGAACGTGAATGACCGTGGACTGAACCACTTTAGGAATTTGGATTAGCTGGAACGTGTTTTTTTTTTTTTATGATTTTTGCTGTTGCGATTGTTTCTCCTTGTTCGACCTCTTTTATCTCGGCCGCATTGATTCGACAGCCGACAGCCAAATTTCATTCCAAGTCGGTCCAAGTTCGTGGACGGTGTGTGCAGATAGCGCCGAACTGGAACTGTTGTAAGTGGTTGCGGTTGGATGCGGCAAAACGTTCCAGGTGGCATGCTGCAGAGGGTTCGGTGATGGATCAAGCTGTTGTGGTACAGGTATGTGAAAATTATTTTTTGCATGCGCGGTTATGATTACATCCCACGTGGCCGTTGGCACGGATCACGTGTCCAGATGTGAAGAGTTGTTTCCTTTTGCCCGGCCAGTTCGGGCACTACGCTCAGCAAATGTGGTTTGTGGGTGCATCATGATTTTATTAACAGGTCGGAGGTCCAGCCGTGCTTGGCACGCGAGGTCCATGGCCGTTAATGGGAAGCGGCATGAAAGTGCCGAAGCAACAGTGTGGTCAGGAGATGGAAAAACACAGGCGAGGTTGGTTGATCGAAGGCCAGTACGTGTTCACTCATGAACAAATGCTGTCAGGACGAGTTGATGATGAAGGACGAGTGCATATTGGTCAACTACATGGACGAGGTTCCTTCGTTGGTTGATCATTTTTGCCACTGGTGCTTTTGATAGCCAAATAGATCGGTCAAGCCGCAATCGCAGCATATTTTGGAGGTGGTTGGCCACAACAACAAGTACAACTGTCACAAGTTTGCACCCGGCCAACCGCGTGGCTTGTTGTCCGAGACCAAGTTCGTCGATTCAGAGGGTGCATTTGTACTCACATCTCGCTTCACGATTGGGGCCCAGTTGTGTCAACTGTGCCTAGCAAGAGACGGGGGGCGTCTGAGCACTTGCCAAAGCCACGAGTGTTCCGCAGGCACAGAGCCTTTTCCGTGCTGTTCTTCGATAGCGAAAATCGTTTGCTGTCTAGGCCTCAGACTGCTTTTACTCAGCTTTTGCAAGTGTCCAGATGAGATGCTGAACGAGACATCGTTGTCCAAGCCCGAGGCTCCAGCAGAGGGCGCGCAGCAAGATCACATTCCCTTTAGTATGGACCAACACGTGTCAACACCCCAGTGGACTTCAGCGGCCGATGGGTCCGACGGGTTATTGCAAGTTTGCAAGGTTGCAGCCATCCTCTCTACGGCATGAAACCGGGAGAAGTGGACGAGCCGGGCCCTTGATGGTCATCCGATCAGCCAGCCCAAGTGTTCCCGAGTGCAACGATGTGAGGCCGGAGGCGATCTCGGCCGGTGATCCAAAAGGTGTCAAGGCAGGACGTCTCTGAACCACTTGTTCTTGACAGGTCAAGTCCAATTGCCATCGCAAGGCCGCAGCAGTTCGTAAACTCGGCCATGAGTTGGGTATCCCAGCCGCCCGTCGCCTGGTTCCGTGCTGCATCAGCCTGTGTAGAGAGAGTTGTCCTTGCGCGTTGCTAGCTAAAGCCGATGGCGCACTGAGGCTTCGCTGGATGTCTCGCGGTTCAAATTCCTGACCCGCCCCTTTCTGAGCTCTGGAATGGGGAAGATCACAGAAAAGAATGCGCAGAGTCGCAGAGGCGTCCACTACTGGGCGGTCGATGTCAGGACACACGGGACCGAGGCGCTGCCTGGCGGTTTCCAGGCCTGGCCTGCTGCGAAGGAGTGTTCTTTCACTGTGCTAGGCCGTTTGGGGCGAGCATGAGATTGACCACATTCTGCGATCCAGCTCATTTTGGGGTTTTGAGCTTTAGGAGTGCAAGCTTAAGCGCAGCTGTTGAGGTTGTACCGGCTGGACCCTGGAGAGACACTCCCGCTAAAGCCAAATCCAGACGAAGTCGAGGCCCAATCGCGTCTGGTTTCTCAATCCAGTTGATATCTTGATTGATCAAGTCGAAGTTGCCGCAGGACACACGCTGGCTTACGAGGGACGAATTGAAAGAGGCAGGGCTTAAGTCTCCATTGGGTAACAGCCTCAACCGAGAACGGGCAAACGGTGTCCGGCAAATCAACACTTGCAGGCCATGAAGGGATCGGGGGAGATGCCGTTGTGGTCGCCGTGGTTTCAAGCCCAGCTTGCTGGATGGGAGCATCAGCTGTCTTGACTGATATAGTGAATGTGGGGCCATGTGGGGTCTGTGAGACCTCGCAGTCGTGGCGGAGGTTCAAGATCATCAACGAACGGCTGTTGGATGCGTGGTGGCAGGACGTCTCCCAAGGTTGCACGGGGCAATATGGGGGCCTTTGAGTGTCCTGCTGAAAGGATTTGGACAGTGCTCTTTCGACAGACAAGTCTGGGCTTCAGCAAAGTTGCATCGGCGATTCAAGACATTTCCGAGTGCTGCTTGCAGGTACGTCGACGTCTCCTCCATCCATCGTTTTGACACGGCGCCGGAGCGCTGGAAGGGGCTGGTTGGTGCCTCGCCGGGCACTCCCACATAGGAGCCGCTCCGCTCTCCGTTTTGGGAGGAGTTCCACGGTGGTCTCGGCAAAGCGAGGCCTTGGTTAGACAAGGTGGCCGAGGCCGGCGAAAATCGCTACCAGAAGAGTGGGATGGCCTAGGGCAGAGCTGCAAGGTGGAGGCAGAAGCCATCAAGGCAGGTGGGCAAGCGCCGGCCTCGAGATATGGAGGTAACCTACTGAGGAGCCTGCTCTGTACACCTCGTCGAGCCTTGAGGGAGGCACAGCGAAGCAAAGGCCAAGTGCATGTAGTGCATGTAATGTCTTCTTGGAGGCTTCATGGAGCATGGTGTCGTTCCCGAGGTCCAAAGACGAAAGGCAATGCTTGAGGCTGAGCACGAAGATCGCGCCATTCCCAGAAGCTCTGGGATCGTCTATCTCGCCTAGAGTTTTGAATTCTTTGCAGCCGAGGTGTAGTGGGCTTCGTTGGAAGAGGGCAAGCAGAAATTGGATCTTCTGCAGGTGGATGTCGACTTGCAGATCCTGCCACGTGTCGCTGCATATGTCACTGGCATGGGTGTCGAAGGCGATGTCAAGCAAGGGGGCTACGGAAAGGCCATGTAGCTAAGGCTCAGTGATGCATCATAAGAGGGAGCAATATGTCTCAGCAGGTGCCAACACACAAGAACCCAAAGCTGGACCAGCTGATGAGGTGCCACGCTGCACGATTCATAGTTCGATGCTGGGACCAAATTGAAGCCACGAATCCATGAAGGCCTTTGGAGATCATCTCGGCCCTTCGTTTGAAGTGCTGGGCTCGACTGGGTGTCCAGACGAGTTCTTGCTTTCACCATTCCGATACCTGCCAGCTGCACTTGCGTATGCTCAGGTGCACCGGATTGTTAGAGAACAACATCAAGGTGTCGCGCTTTGCCTGTGGTTCGAGAGTCGTTGCTTCGTGATGTGGGGCCCAGGATCAGCAGGATCCAGACGTCGAATTCTGCGACGACATGCTTGGAAAGGTCCTGATGCCACGAGCGGTCAAGCTTTTGCAGCTGTCTTTCTGCCGCTGCCGGTCTCAGGTTTCCAGATCCTTTGCAGCTGTGATCCGACAGCTGCCAACGCAGTTGGGTAGGGCTCTCGCCATCCTTGTCGTTCGCTGCGCAGACCGGAAGACAGCAGGCCTTGCTTATGGCCGAGGCATCGACATTTGCATCTTCTACTTGGCCGATTGCTCAAGTCCTTATCTGGAACATCTGAAAGTCTGAGTTGCAGATGAGCCTCGCCAGGCACTTCGTGCTCTAGACACAGTCGAGGATGACATGGAGGCATACAAAGGCGATTGGAGACGTCGATTTCCGTGTTGCAGAAGGTAGGCAACCGGAGAGCTGCAGTGCCTGTCCAGGCCGCGAAACCGAGAAGCAGGAGGAGTTGATCCATTTTGGTGAGAAAAGGCCCTCGACTGCAGTAAACGACTTTGCTTTATCGGAAGCTGCAAGCTTACGTCTCGCTGCATGTCGGCCATCCAGCACCCATTCTTTGCATTGTCTCTGCAGCAGCACGGTGTTGTGCAGGCTGGGTGATGTCAACTGCAGCATCAAAGGCCGATGGCTAGAAGAAAGCTGAATCCGTTGTGCAGTGTGCACTTGCGCGAACATCGCAGTTGAGTTCGACCGCGATGTTTTGAATCTTAAGTGGACAGCAGAAGTCCCCAACAGGTGTTGGCGCTGCAGACGAACGGACGCTTGTGGAGCAATTCGGGCGCGTGGCCTGGGACTCTGGTACATGCGAATATGCACTTCCGGTCGGTGACAACATGTCCCCGGATAGACTGGTGTTGAATCAGTCTTTGGTTTTCAGAGACAGGGGCTGCTCGCACCAGAGAGTATGCCAATGCGTTGATCTGACGTTTCGTATTGCTTCTGCATCTTCCGAAGTGGGTGGAAGCAAGTTTCCATGCGTTGTCCAACTCCGAGGCCCGGGTCTACCTCAAGCTTCCCCCAGGCAGTGGGCAACGGACACACTGTAGAAAACGCGAACCAGTTAACCTATGATCCAGAGTCTCGGGTTTTGCGCAGGCAGCAAGGGCGTAATCAAGGACATCACCGACAAAATGGGTGCCGGTATGGCCGAGTATGCCTGGAACTCCGGTCTTTTGTTGATGTTTGCTGTCATGTTGAGAGCGTCGATCTGCAATTTCTCAAGGTGTCTGCAGATTTGGCACAGGGAACTGTGGACCAAGCAGCTTACGACCGCCCTGCCGGCATGTGAAACCTGCTTACTCACTTGCATTTCTCAGCGCGAAGCACGCTAGCTATTTAGACCTAGGCTACTGCCACATGGTCGCCGGCCTTGTCGGAGAGGGTTTGACGCGGATCTTCGTGGCAAGTGGACTTGACACTTGGTGGCATCGATTGCACGTGTTGTAAGAGTCAACCAAAGTGGGCTCAAACCAAAGCTGAGGAGGGCAGCGAGCTTGCAGGACAAGGCCAGTAACCAGCGAAATCTTCAGAAAATGCCCGTAGTCAGCCAGTGGTTTGGCGACACCAGATGCTCGTCTAGTTGCACTTGGTGCATGAGCAGGAAGAGAATACCCACCAACTCTTTTGCGACAGGCGAACGATGCTGGCCATTCTGTGTTCCATCCTTAGCTACATGGTTCGGTGCAAACGCTGCTATGCACGAAATTCGAGCCATGTCGAGGCCGATCCAAAAAAGGATCCTGCAAATCTTGGCCTGGCCCCAACGGCGAAGTCAGGAGAGGCTTCGTGACAGACGCGTCAGGTCTAGCCAACTCCATGGGCCTCTTCTTGCAGAAGACGAACATCATTCGTGATTACTTGGAGGATTACGCCCCGGTCCTGGTTTCGTGAGCTAGACAGCAGCAGGAACAAGCCACGTTTGCATGTCGGATGAGTTGTGCCGCAAGGTAGATGGACGTGCCTTCTGGCCACAAACAGTTTCTGCCTCGACGTAGGTTTCGGGCTGGCCAGCAGCGTGGTCGACAAAGGCCCACATCGCCCAAACCCAAAGAGACGATGTCCAAGCAAGGTCTGGAAGAACTACGCTTGCTCCAACGATTTGGGCGAGTTTGCTCTGCCCACGGCGCATGCTGCAGGCAAGTATGGGCCAGACGGCTGACAGAATCATCAAGCGGCCGAATGGTGCTGACAGTGTTGCAAGGAACTCGCCTTGCAGTTAAAGCTGGGGGCGAGAATCTTGCCAAAGGTGTTGGAGAGCAGGCCTTCTGTGCTTCGAAAGCCATGGAAAGGCGCTTCTGGTTTCTGAGCAGGCTCTGCTGTGCCTAAACGACTTGGTTGCCGACGCCTTGGAGCTTGTTCCTGACTCGCTAGAGTGCCCCCTGCATCCCCCTGCTTGTTCAAAGCAAGCTTCCTTTCCACATCAGCAGTAGAGTAGCAGTGGCAGGCATGTTTGGAGGCTGCTTGCGGAGCTTAATAGGTTTGTGCTTCTCGAGATTCTCCGAATGCGGAGGCTCTGCAAAGCTGTCATAGTGTCAGGTACTTGGAGCGTGCCGCTTGACTACATGGATTGCTGTGAAGTGTCAAGCATCTCAAAACTGGCCTGCCTACAGAAACTTGCTGTAATGGCCATCAATTGCATCTTTCCAGAGGTGAAGACAGCGTCCATTTACAGATTCTGCGCCATTCCCCAGGCGTGGTCTCAAGCTCCACTGAAGCAATCAACTACCAGACAGCAAGGTGATGGCAATTGCAACTTTGGCGGCCTGTTTCGATAACCCCTTGGTGTTTGCGGCTCAGAATGACTTTGGAGGTCATGTGCTTAGCTACTCGTACTTAGTTTCGTGGAGCGCTGACTCTTCCAAGGTTCACCGGCGTTGTCAAGATTCGCAAGGGGCTGACTGCGCGTCTCATCGTGGCATGCTGCGACGGTCCGGACGCTGCAGAGAACTCAGAATTTCCTTGGGAACGCCGCCCTGAGTCTGAAGGCGTCATCATGGGTTGGATGCATGTGATAGGATCCCTCAGGGCTTACGGCATGTCCTGTCCGTGGGAGTGCTAAAAACAAGTGCATGATGCTCATGTCTTGCCTTGTCATTGACGCAGAGCGACTGACCACAGCGAAGGTACACTTTTGGTTCCGATCCTTCGCTGAAGAGATTCTGTCTTCAGTTTCGCTGAGAGCTCAGAGTTTCCAGGAAAGTTCTTCTTCCAGCGCCTTCGAAGCGTCTCGACACAGGAAGGGGAAGTGCGCAGGAGCTGCCGGGCCCATCGGAAAGCGGCTCGAAAAGAGCTGTGTGCGCATCCTTGAGAGGACTTGGTTGAGTTGGTTGTGTGCAGCCTTACAATGGAGTTTGAAAGGGGTAGTCGATGAGGTGATGTTTGCCCTTCATTGGCATCAGAGCTACCTCTGCACGGCAGGACGCAGAAGCGATCGGAAGCCTGGAGCAGCAAGCAGACGCAGGCAACGTTCATGATCTGAAGGGCCATGTCTCTCGTATGCGCCTGTGCCGCTGCCCCCGCACGCACGCACACGTACACCAGCCTATGCACCAGAAGCGCTTCGTCGCTGGCGCTTTTACTGCCCTGGCGGCTTCGACCTCATCTGCAGGTTGATGTGGCTATGCCGTGCCCGAATTGTGGACTCGACAGCTGAGGTCTCCTCCCTTTTCCTGCGTGACCAAAGCTCGAGGCTCCCTGCCGTTGCCATCTTTGCGGCAGCACCTGTGGCATCCGGCGCAGGTAGCGTGCAACTCATCAAGTGAGTCTGCAGCCGTTGCTTTCGTGATGCTGGGTGCCGCGTGAACCATGTCACACTGACACATACTGAGAGTGGCTTCTACAGCAGCCTTTGCCGGGGTGTCCCTTCTTGCTCAGAGTGGTTGACGCAGAATCTCCCGCAGCCGGTCAGTTCCTAGCTGTGCGGAAACCCATGTAGAGCTCGCTCATCTCATGCCCCAGCCCACCGCCTGTCAAAACTTCGCAGGCAGATTGTGTGCAGCAGGTGGTCTCTGGCACAAATACCTGTCATAGGCGGACCTGGGTTTCAACATAACAATATAGTGAAGACTAACAGCCAGATAGTGAAGACCAACTTGGAGCCATTGGCATTTACGCCAGAGACAGCCCCTGTTACTCAAAGGGCTATGTTTTCAACAGTTTTCTCAATTTTCCAATCTCGGGCCCCGGGGCGATTCCCCTGACGATGTTCAGTCTGAAGTCGCCTTCAGTGTGAGCCCCGCGTTCACGCGCAAAGTCGGACTGGTGCCTTATGATGGCCTCAGAAGCAGAGCCTGCAGCGAAGACGCGGTTCACAGCCGCTTACAGTAGCCCCAGTCCGTTTGCATCGATAAAAACTTTGCAGATCGTCCGTGACAGGGAGCTTCCCCGAAACGAATTGGTGGAAGGTAGCACTGATTGGCACCAGCGCCCCGACATGCATACTCATGATTTCTCTTCACCCTCCAGTCGTCTGCGACATTCTGTGGCGGTCTGGGTACATACATACACTCACATACACACATTCGCACATACACACATTCACACTTACACAACTTCACACTTACACATACATGCATACTGTATAGTCATTTTCGCATGTGTATGTCCTTGTTTGTAGTTCTTCTTTATATGCACACCTCCCAATACCCGGACTTCCAGCCACAGCCACAGCAGGCAATACACTGCATTCTCGAAATGCCCTCCAACCTGCTCTCCGTCAGCCTTTTTGCAGTTCCTGAGGTGGAGGCATTCAAATTCCACTGTGCCTTATGCATCATGACTCGCGCAGGTGGTTTTGACCCGCAAACAACAAAACCGAGAAACTTTTTGCCTGGCCAAGACATGGTGTCTTCCCAAGAGGGAGACAGCACCTTGACGCCTGGCCAACCCATTTTGCAGCTGTTGCAGAGCAGCTGCCGATCAAAGCAAGGGTCCGGCGAGGCCTCGTCCTTTCATCGGTGCAGGGTTTTCCTGGCGTGTCGTCGAGTGTACCATCAGAGGCTGTTCTTTTTGGCAATGGCACCACTTGCAACTCCTGCCAAGACCAAACGTGTGGAATGCAATGGCATGCTCGCCTTCCCACATCTTGGATTGCAAAGGCCGACTAAGGGGGATTCACCAACATGTACCATTGAAGGGCTCACGCCCACGATAATTCACTAGAAGGCTGCACAGGGCATATATGGTTTGCATCCGTAGACTGTCAAGAAGGCCTGTGCACGAACAGATGTTGGAGTGGCCATAAACTGAGTCTTGATGTTGAACATCTTGCGGGGTGTGTGTCTGCCAAGCCCGGCGGTCAACGCAGAGGTCTTCAATCCTGTCTTCAGTCCGTCAGCATGTCACACTTGGTTACTTCAGGAGGGGTTTGTTCGGATGCTTGTTCTGGACCATCGCTGGCGCGCTAGCGCCTCGGGTGTACCTGCAAAGTATAATAATCTGCGCCATGCTCAGTTCCAGCTCGGACTCCTCCGCGAACCCGTTACCCCAAACGACGCACCCTATTCACCTGGCTCTTTCCCACTGGACCCCAGCCTTAGCCCCAGGCAGCAGACCCATTGCGCAGAATCTTGTTCAGCTACACCTGAAGCTCGATCCCTCAGGCTTCAAATCAGGCCCATGTCCAAAAACCCACCACGACACTTCAAACGATTGGTTTGAGTTTGGCTCGGAGCAACTTTAGTCCAAGCAGTTTTGCTAGAGTTTTTTCGACACGGTGCGGGGACACTGGTCTCAGCCGACTAACGATAAGTTGGCCTTCGGTGAAGTCTGGTCGCCTCAGCATTGCATCAGAGCCTCATGTCTTGAAATGTGTCAGCTTGACCACCTGCAGCCCAAATCCAGCATAGTCCGGAACGTGTTTGCAGGTAGCAAGCTATTGAAAATGGGGTCCAGCACTCTGACCGCTGTGTCCGAAGGACGCGGCCTCGGTGGGATGGGCGATGTTCTTACCACCCAACCCATCGTCTGAACAGGCATCGCTGTTGGGGCAGATCTTCTGCCCTGGGGCCCTCAGACGCAGGACCTGATTGTAGTGTTTGTCATGTGGCCATGTGTTTCGCTCGTTTGCTTGGCAGGACCGACGATTTTATCACAACCGTGGTGTACGCATGCTGACGCTGCAGCGCGACAGATCGGTACACTTTCTTTCCAAGCAGTGGAAAGGTATTGAAGCTTCATTGCAGCGAATGTCCTTATGCTATCCGTCGGTGGCACGCGAGAAGCCGAGACATCATGTTGCAGTAGCTTTCGGGCAGTTTCCGGATCCATCCCCGCGACACTGCCGAAATTCCAAGTCTTGCCGTGGAGTGCAGCGCAAGCGTGAGGCACAAGCAGGCCTTCGCAGCATATTGTGATTGGGTAATGCGCCGCACAAAGAAAGGTCCTGACCAATCCTCAGATTCGGTCTCGGTGGTGTCATCCTCAGTTGCTGAGATGGCACACAGTGGTGCAATCGCATGATTTGCGCTGAGGTCAACCTAGTTCTCTGAGTACTTGCGTCAGTGGGTGGAAGGGCAGCGGTCAGTGGCCTGGTTGACAAGTTTCTGGCACGGTGCATGACCTTCAGCACAAATGCTAAAAGCCCTCACTACAAACAGGCACTTCCAAGGCTCGCGGGCGTTGTCAAGATTCGCAACGGGCTGACAGCGTGTCTCATCGTCGCAATCTGTGATGGTCGGGATGCTGCACAGCACTCAGAATTTCCTTGAGAACTCCGCCCTGAGTCTGAAGGCACCATCATGCTTTGGATGCATATGACACGATTCGTCAGGCCTTGTGGCATGATCGTCATCCTAGCCTAGACTGTGATGCAGAACAACTCACCACAGCGAAGGTAACAGATTTCGCCGAAGAGATTCTGTCTTTGGTTTCGCTGAGTTCTCAGAGTTTCCAAGAAGATTCTGCTTACAACACCTTCCAAGCCGACGGAGGAACGGGAAGCGTGCTAGAGTTGCTGCCCCATCGGAAAGCGGTTCGAAATGAGCTATGTGTGCATCCTTGAGAGGACTTGATTGGGCTTTCTTTGCAGCCTTACGATGAATTTGGTTGAAATTGTTGTCAGTGAGTGTTGTCCCTCTCAGGTGATGTTTTATTTCATTTGCATCAAAGCTACCTGCACGGCAGGACGCAGAAGGGATCGGAATCCTGGAGCAGCAAGCAGACGCAGGCAACATTCATGATCTGAAGGGCCATGTCTCTCGTATGCACCTGCGCTGTTGCCCCTGCACGCACCCACACGTACACCAGCCTATGCACCAGAAGCGCTTCGTCGCTGGCGCTTTTGACTGCCCTGGCAGCTTCGACCTCATCTGCAGGTTGATGTGGCTATGCCCTGCTCGAAATGTGGACTCGACAGCTGAGGTCTCCTCCCTTTTCCTGCCTAACCAAAGCTCCAGGCTCCCTTCCGTTGCCATCTTTGCGTCAGCAGCTGTGTCATGCACCGCAGGTAGCATGCAATTCATCAAGTGAGTGTTGCAGCCGCTTTCGTGATGGTGGGTGCCGCATGAAAAAGTCACACAGACACGCACTGAGCGTGGCTGCTACAGCATCCTTTGCCGGCGTGTCCCCTCTTGCCCAGAGTGGTTGACGCAGAATCTCCCGCAGCCGGTCAGTTCCCAGCTGCGCGGATACCCATGTAGATCTCGCTCATCTCATGCTCCAGTGCACCGCCTGTCAAAACTTCGCAGGCAGATTGTGTGCAGCAGGTGGTCACTGGCACAAATACCTGTCATAGGCGGACCTGGATTTCAACATAGCAAAATCCTGAAGACAGACAACAAAACAGTGATCACTATCACCAGCTTGGCTCCCGAAGTTGCCAGGGCCTCAGCGTTGGCGTGTCGAGCCTATGAAGTACCAGTAGCTCGTTTGCCGACAATGTTTTACGTGAAAACGTGGTCGGAGACGTCCATGTCACATTTGAGTACTTCCTTGCAAGAGGTGGAGGCAATAATTGGGCTTTTGGTGGTTGCCGGCCTCGCGCTTTCTAGCATGATTCGTGATGGCTCTGAGTTAGAGTTTAAGGATCACGGGGAGTGCAATTGGTTCTGAGGCTTCCTATTTCGATCAGTCGAGGCTTCAGGGCTCTGGGACAAAGAGTTCGGGAGATTGGGCTTTCGGGTTCTGCATGACTAGGCCCAAGGTGCTTTGCAGGTGAGCCCTCGCACTGAATCGTCGAATTCCTGGGATCACAACACCCTGAACCCTGAGCCAAAGACCACCTACCCCCACCCGAGATACCAGAACCAAAGAGCACCTGCCCCCTTCCAAGGGCTTCGTTTGGAGCAGACATGCTTTTACGGGATCGGATTTGCTGCTTGTGGATTTGTTCCTGTGGCCCAGCGCAGTGCTCGTCCTCGTGATCGAGCTACCATAGCAGTAACTCAGACTTTCACAGACCGCTATTCTGTGCTCCACATGGCATGGCCGCTTCAACCGACCTTAACTTGCCCAAACGTCCTTCAGCGAAGTTGACTGCAGACAGCATGTCTCGGATGCCATGGAGCGGCGTTGCAACTGGGACGAGGCTCTGCCAGTCTGCTCCGCGGGGGCCGATGCTGTATGATGCCCGGCGCCTTGGCAAACGCACTATGTGCGTGGAGAGACTGAGTTGAAAAGAGTGGACCCCAGCCCGCTACATGTGGCATCCTCTTCGTGTGAGCGACTCAGGTGTAGCTGCTGCAGGTCTCTGATCGAGCAGGTCTGTAAGCTGAGCGCCGAGAAGGATCAGCTGCTTCACGAGTCTCCGAGCTGCACTTCAGCACCTTCACCACAACATGCGCAGGGTTCGGCTTCGTTCCAGTTGTTAACACGACCCTCAGGTGCGGCAACCTTCGCCGTGACAGCAACGCTCAGTGGACCGAGATCGAGATGCTACAAAATGCGTTTCTCTGCTGCACTTGACTTGGTTCAAGTCATAGCCGTTGTTAGGTTAGCGGTTAGAGATGAAAATGCCATCTTGGTCAGAAGCGACGCGGTTGTCTGTCTGTGTTTTCGAGCTCTGCTCTAATGTACACGATATCTGACAACGGTGATCGACGATGGATGTGTTACACTTGGTGCACTTAGATGCAGCATGGCAAGGCTTTCAATCGGTGCCGAGGTGCATCAATCTCCACTTTCAGAACGAGAAACTTGGCGCAGTGCTTCTCAGCAGCAGTCGGTTCGATTCGTGGCCTTCTCTGGGTTAGCGATGAAAGTGGAATCTTGGTCAGAAGCTGTGGTGAGGCGGGGTTCCGTTTCCGAGTCTTCGAACTGTGTGCTGACATGCTTACACAGTCTGCGTGAATCGGCATGCAGGAGGGTTTCGTTCCAGGATGTTCCAGATGTGAGAAACAGATACATACAGCACGGCATGCGGTAAGAAAAGCAGAAGAGCCCAGGTGCAGCAATCTTTCTTTGCAAAACCATGCCCTTTGGACTCGCAGTGAGAAGCGACGCAAAGAGCTTCTCGCCTGCAGTTGCTTTGATTCCTGGCCCTTGCTTCGTGATGTAAGTGCCGTCTTGGGTAGGAGATTCGAGGCCAGTGGCGGGGCTCCGTCGAGCCATGTGTCAAAACCCAGCTGTTACACACATATGCAACATGGCAAGACGTTCCATTGGAGCTCAGGTGCCACAAGCTTCGCCGTGATAGCGAGCAGCTGAGCAAAAAGCTTCTCAACTGCGGTTGGTTCGGGTCGCGGCCCTTGCTGGGCCCACAGCACAAAGTCCATCCTCGAGAAGCCTCAAGCCGGTTGACGAACAGGTTGCGTTTGGGAGCACGATCGTGTGGCAGGTGTAGGGCCGGCCTTGATGCTTAGCTCGTCATTGCTTGTTTGCCTGTCTCTGGCATCGTCCCTTAAGGCTACGCATCCAGGAGGAGCGGCTTTTTCAGACCAAGCACTCCTCCGACATGATGCAACTTGCCCGCAAGATCCGGCAAACGTTTCCAGATGATCTGCCGGGCTATCTGCCTCCTAGATGAGGTGTGTTGATTCGCCTGGAGCGCTCCGGGCCGACATGGTCGAAGTTCATGAGGGCAACTCAAGTCTGGCTGAGATGCCCCTTTGGCCAGCATATGCCAGCTTAAGCTGTTGCTGCAACTTCCGCTGCCTCATGTCTTCGGTTGGGAAGGACTGGCCCCAAGCGAGAAAGCCCAGACTCCATGGACTCGGTTGGTGCACACGAGAGTGGTTCTGCAGCTGAGCAGGTGCAGGCTCACTCCTCTCGCCGCATACTCATGCCTGTTATCTGCCAGTCTGCATACCTGCTGCATCAGAGGTGGGTGAAAGCAGCCCAGCTTCGCCTGCGCAGCCAGTGCCGGCCGTGCACCTAGCTGTGCTAGCCGCTTGTTGCTGCTTGTTTGGCCCGTTACTCCCGTTGGCATCGCGATGGCTCTGTCCACCATTCCTGCTGCCGTCTGCAAGCTCCATTCTTGAAACATGTTGTCGCGTCTGGGCTGTGCCCGTGTCGTCCACGAGGCGATGGCAATCAAGCTAGGGGGAATGACGCGCCGGGTTTCCATGTAATTAACAGTCCACGAAGGCCAAGAGCAATCCAAGGGTGTAGATGTAGCACTTTGCCGTGGTTATTCAAGAGCCTGAGACCTGAACGTAGAAGTTCGCCTGGCGACCATGCATGGATTTGGAGTTGCTGGGTTTGGCGAGGCATGCACTTCGACTTTCTGTTGGGAGGCGGGATGCGTAGTTGCTAAGCCAAATCCGTGAAGCCAGATCCCCTCATCCTCAGCTCCAAGCTGCAGCGACCTGCGCCTAAGGTGCCAGCCGTTAAACCGCCCGACAAGCCCGTTCATGACCGGCAGTGGCCTCGGCATACAGCTGTGTCCGTGAGAGTTCACGCTGTTCGCGTGCACTTGAAAAGTCGCATGCCAAAGAATGGCGCCCGACCATTACAGCGAGTATCTCAGCACGCATGCCCCACAGCTGAGGCGCTACAGCTGGGACTGCGCTTCCTTGTCCACCTATGCAGACCCCGATGCTCTTGACAGCGACGGCGAGGCATCCACCGCATCCCAGTCCCAAGACATTCCCAGCCCTCAAGCCATGCGCTGCCTCGACCCTTGGCCTGTGTCAGCTCCTGCCTGCCACTCTCAAAGGTGGCAGAGAGGTTTGTGGGATTAGAACGGCTCATGTCTCCGACCCCAATCAATCTCTTGAAGGCTCCACTCTACTCAGCACTCCTGAACTTGCTGCCGAATACACGCAAAGCCTGCCTGAATCCTACGCCCAAGAACACAAGGGGGGCGTCCTGCCCAATGACCCCCCCACTCGCACTGTCGCCAATTTGCTGGTTCCTTCCTTTGCCCCTGGCCGAACCTGTCTCACAATGAGGACTCCAAGGACGACGAGGAGCGACCTCTGTCATTGCCGCGTGCTGCGGTGATGAGCCGGACGCAAAGCTCTCAGACCAGTAGCAGGAACCTGATCCCGTGCGGCTCATGTCTGTTCTCGTTCTCTGAGACATTAACAGGGATAACGTTTGATTCTGGAGATGGGAGTGTTCGTACATGAGTTAAATCCACCCGCTCGGCCTGAGGTGGGTGCATCCACTTCTCCCCATGACGCCGATGCATGCAAGCAAGGATGAGCCGAAGAGCCTTCCGCTGCAGCCAGAAGATCATGCGTCTTCCCATAGCTGAGAGGCAGTCGGGCATTTCACACTTTTCAGACGTTGGGGGCGCATCGACCGAGGAAGCTTCCGCGCAAAGTTGTTCGGTCGGAGCAATTGCAACCTCCTCAGCCAGGGCAATGCTATGCACGCATTACGAGCTTTTGGAGACTGGGGCGTGCTTGGCTGGTAGCCCAAAAACTCAGGCGCAGACGGAACATGACCTTGGCCCAGCACCTGGCCATCTTGCAGGCCAGGCACCAGTCACTAGCTGAGGCCTGCAGTTCTGCCTTGCTTGCCTGCGCCCGGCTGTAGGAGATGAGCGGGGACGAGGATCCGGAATCGCTGCAAGGCACACAGACGCTTGTCTGAAGCTCACTAGCGGTGCCGCATGGGCAGCTCAAAGGGTTTGCTCACGATTGATTGTCTTGGTATGTCTACGGTTTCTCTTGTCACGCAGAAGGTATTAAAGTATTTCTTAGCCCAGGTGTGCGAAGGACGACTCTCAGATGAGGATGAATTGCCGGGCAACGGATGCCGTGAGTCTGGACCTTTCATGCCTCATCTTGCAACTTGGCCTTTAGCAAAATCGGAGCACGGGAGCACATGAAAGAATCCGAGCAAGTCCAGCTAGAGAGCAAGCCGCAAGGCCCAGCCTGTTGGAGTACCTCACTGCATCTTGCCTGAAACGCCAGTGGCTGGCGATGCTACGCCATGAAGGGTAATGAGCGCGCAGTGCTTGGGAGAATCTTCCAGATGATCGCCTGTATGAGTCTCCCCAGGTGGATGACATTCTGGAGTGGCGTGTGACATCGCGGCAGACCCGAAGTCCCAGGGCAGGGGGCTTTGTGCATGTGCTCTTTCCTCCAATACCCATGTGCAGTATTCTGAGAAGATGCGTTGGGAAGACTTGGATGCTCGTCTGCGTGACCTTAGGTTTTGCTTCGGCATATTGCTGAAATTGGAAGGTTGGACAGGCCACTCCCGGGCACCGGCATAGTCAGCAGATAAATCATGACATGAAAGCAAGCATCACGAGACCCGCTGAGCAGGTCCGAGTCAATTCTCGATTTTTCTACAAAGCTTGAACTCACTGGTGTTCACGGCGCTACCTTCGATGCCGACGTCTGCGGAAACGACGTAGAGCAGATAAAGTACTATGACTGCGTCCTGGCCCGTCAGCATGATCCACAGAGACACGCTTTGTTCCGCGAATTTAGTCTGCTGTTTTTTGCCTCAGGTCAGTGGTGGTGCATGCGGCTGGCGAGAGCCAGAGAAACCCATTTTGCAGAAAGCGATGCCTTCGAAATTGTCTGTCCAAACCTCCGAGACGTGCTTCGGCACTGTGCCGACGAGGATGCATCCGTGAGGAGCTCTGCGCACCACATTGTTGCTAACTATGGTCAAGGTGGCCTCCCGTTTGTGCGGCAAATGATTGCAGATGCCATGTTGACGCTGATGGGGCACGTGCTGTCAGACTCCACCGGAATCAGCCAAGCGACCTTGCGGCAGGTAATGCAGTGCACAGGCCACCTTGACAACGTTGTACGTACACTGGCGAAGCCTCAGCGGCAAAAGTGGGTGTCCCTGCTGGTCCAAGCCCTTGAGAGCCTGGGGGGTCAGGAATCAGAGACGTTGACTTTGATTTCTGACTTGAAGCTCCTGTGGCGAGCTGATGACGATCCCAGTCGGAGCTACGCAGAAGCAGAGCAGCAGCTGAAGGCTTTGAAGAAGCAGGCCAGCGGAGACGTTCGGGATGCTCTCTGGGACCTGCTATGCTGCTGAAGCTGCGCGAACAAAAGGAGTGTGTGAGAGCTTCCTCCTTCCTCCCTTAGCTTCCGAACTCCTCCCTTAGCTTCCGAACAGTGCTCGCTGCTAGGCTGGGAATGCCCGCGGGGGCCTGAACTGGGGGTTTTGGGTTGAACGGAGTCGAATCTGGAAGGGATCAGAGGCTAGAAAGGACGATCGTTGGTTCTCTGCAGGTGTTCGTTGCGTCCTATTGCTTAGGATGATCTGCATGTCTGATGGCTTTCGCAAAATTTGCTATGAGCAGAGGACCACTAGTTTGCAAGACTCGGGGAGTTTCCACGGGATGCGTGGGGGCTTTAACCCCATACAGCGGTACCTTCAAGCTACATTGCAAAACGAGCGAGGGTTGGTGCTCGGCTTGACAGTTCCGAACCCTGTGGGTTGTCAAAGCGCAAGCCCTGAACCGAAGCCCTAGGCCTGCTCCACCTCCCACTTCTCCTACTCCTCCACTCCTGCTACTCCGCCTACCCCTACCCCTGCAAGACCGAAGCAAAGGACAAGAAGCAGCACAAGCAGAAGGAGCAGAACCTCAAGGTCGGTCATGACTAGCTGCAGACTTGCAGACGACAGCTATGGTTCAAGCATTCCTGGATTTACCTCTGTCGTCCTCTGCGTGCAAGATTAGCAAAGGAATCCATCAGCACATCACTGGAGTCGATTGCCAGCGCAAGCTCGTCGTGAAAGGCCGCAGACAGAGCGAGACAAACAGCTGTAGACAAACACATACCTGCGTACACATGCAGATGCAGGCTATTGCAGAGGTCGCGAATTATCCTGCACTGTGACCCGTCGTTGGAGGCATTCAAGGCAAAGCAGGCCTTAGAAGATGCAAAGGCGGGCTCTGGCTGCCGTGTGTGTTTACTGTAGAGTGGGCACCGTTATGTCATCGATGAAAGGGTTGGCAAGAGGCCCCTTATTGTTGTGGGCCTGGTTTTGCGCAGTGCCCCACCATTTGTGCTTCAGCGTTGTTGGCTGCTCTCCGACAGGAGCAGAAAGCTAAGGAAGAGAAGAAGAATGAGCTGCGAATCACTGTCAGGCAGGGGTGGTTGCTCATCTAACTCCGTCCAAAAAAATTGTCCAGATGAGCTGCCGTAACTGTCATGCTGTGACGGCCAGGAAGCTGAACAAACAGATGCAAGCATACGCCCTTTCCGTTGTCAGACGCATTGACCTCATGGGGGTTGCCAGAACCAGGCCGAAAGGGATGCGGCTGAGGAGCGCGTGCAAGTCTCGGCCTTAAGTCTTCGGTGGGGCGAGGCCATGCCACAGTCGCTGTGAGTGGGCGATTTCCTTATTTTTACATTCAAACGTAAAGACAGGGCCCTTTCATTCCAAAGAATGGATGGGGCAGCGCACCCGCGCGGGACGGGAGGACTGCTCCCGCCCCAAGCCTCAAGCAAAGCCAAGAGAGAGTGAGAGAGAGAGAGAGAGAGTTTCACACCAAACACAGACACTGGCGTAGCGCTCGCGCGCAGGGGGTGCAGGGACCTGTGCCTTGCCTCCCACACGCCTTGCAAGCAAGCAAGCAAGAGAGAGAGACACAGAGAGAGAGAGAGAGAGAAAAGGGATAGATGTTGTTGTAGAGGACAGACATAGCAATTTGTCATCCGGGGGAAAGCTGAACTTGGTGAGCGGGGGTATTTGCGTGCTTTCCAGATGTTGCAAAGCCCCACGATGCCAGTGCCCAGAAGCAACAAGTCCGAAACATGTGAATCTAGATTGTATCGTGATCAGTCCAGCGTGAAACGTGTTGTGCTGAGTAAAGCCGGGTGCCCAGTTGCTTGATGCATAGTCTCGTCTGTTGCTGGGTGCGTCTGAAGAGCTCGGTTTACAAGCCAGGACCGTGCTGTACAGCACGGCGTCACGGCACAGACCGTTCAACCTCCGAACCGGGGCGTAAAGCGGATGAGGTGCGAGGCGGGTTGGGGGTAGTAGGGTACAGGGTTGGGGGATGCAACAATACCGCTCGCTCCTCATCAGACACAGTGTCACGCTTAGACCGAGAGACCGGTGCGCTCGTGAGCGCGGGAGGGGTTGCGCCCCTGCTTGTCCGCATGCAGGCAAGGGGGGGAGAGAGAGAGAGATAGAGAGACAGAAAGAGAGACAGATTGGGAGGGAGAGAGAGAGAGAGAGGCTCGCTAGGAGGCCTGAAACATGAAAACTTTACGACATGCACTCACATACCGCATGAGCGGTAACTAAACAGCAGAATGTGTGCAGTTGCTAGCAAGTACCTAACTCACTCGCTCAGCCCGTGGAGAGCCCGAACCGTAGTCGCACGTAAAACCGTGCACACCTCCAACAGAACGGGCAGCTCCCGCGGGGGCTCGCCCTCAAGCCTGGGACAGATAAGGGAGAGAGGGGGAGAGAGGGAGATAAAGAGAGAGAGTGAGATAGACAGTGAGCAAGTGAGCCAGCGAGAGTGAGCGGATGAGTGACAGTGAGCAAGAGTGAACAACAGTGAGCGACCAAAGACAGAAGAAGAGAAAGACAAAAGAGGAAGATGCAGATAGAGGGAGGATGCCGAGGAGCATACCGCTTCATATTCTTTCTACGTTTCAGTGAGCTCTGAGAGTGGCTTCTACAGCAAGGTCCGGTCCTTGGAAGATCCCTTTGTGTACGTTGAGTACGCTTGAGTGGTTCGTACTCTGCAACCTACGTGATGCTAGTGCCCAACGCCGTAAACACGATGCAGAACTCGAATTGTCAGCATCCTTTTGTTTCCCAAAGCGCCTCTGCGGTTGGTAGCTCCTGGCAAGCGCGATGCCGTGGACGATACCGTTGGACACCCTCGCCACTTTGTGATGGAGGCCTAACCAATGAACCAATGGTTCCCATGTACTCAGTAGGCCAGTGTGAGGGGAAATTAACCAGTGCAACGCAGAAGCCGGCTGGCCGATTCACACCCCAGCCCGGCCTGTCTGCCCGTGGACCCGAGGTTCGGAAGACACGGTGTGACGAGTGATGCTATGGGAGTTTCGTCAGCAATGCGCAGGCCAATGGTGGAAAATGGAGGTGGCATCTCAGCGGCGGGCATGATCATGCTTGTGTTGCTCCTGCCTCTAGCCACCCGCTTCAGGGCTGTGGCACCTTCATCTGCGCTCGGCCCTCCCGCATCTTTGAATGCAAAGGCCAACTAAGGGGGAATCACCAGACCGCGAGAATGTGGGCGAGCTCGCGCCAACGAAATACACTCAAAGGCTACGCAAAGCTTATAGGGCTTGCATCGTCATGCTGTCAAAAACCGCCTGAGGCCTGACTGTCTGCGGCCATTGCCCAATTAGCACGAACAAATGTTAGAGGGCCCTTAGCCAAAAACTGAGTCCTGATGCTGAACTTTTTTGGAGTGTATCTGCACGGTGGGGCCTCGGGCGTACCTGCAAAGTGCAATCCGGGCCATGTTCAGGCCCTGTACCCTCAACGAAAAGCTTGAATCATTGCCCCAGCTGTACCTTGACCTTGACTCCTTTTCAATTAAAATCTTAAAACCGAGACGCTTCAAACTGTTGGTTACGGTTAGAGTTTGGCTCGGAGCAACTTTAGCCCAAGCAGTTTTGATAGAGTTTGTTCGACACGGTGTGGGGACACTGGCAAAGCTCTCAGCCGACGAACGATTTTAAGTTGGCCTTCGGTGAACACGCCGGCATTGCAAGTATGGTCGCCTCAGCATTGTGTCAGAGCCTGATGTCTTGAAATGTGTCAGTTTGACCACCTGCAGCCCAAATCCAGCATAATCCGGAACGTGTTTGCAGGTCAGTTTTGACTACTGTACTGCAGCTACAGCCTTAGTAGAGGCCCTGTTTTTACCACTTTACTGCAGCTACAGCCTTAGTAGAGGCCAATCTTTTGCTACTTTACTGCCAAACCTAGGCTTTCCGGAACAGTTTCTTTAAATGTGAACCCTTTTTAGAGGTCGCAAAGCCTACAAACGCCTCAATGGAAACTCCTCTTCCGGACCCTACAGGCCCCCAAAAGGTTCTTTAAATGTGACCCTTTTAATATTGAGACCCTCGGATTAGCAATTTCTCATCCGGGGGAAAGCTGAACTTGGTGAGCGGGGGTATTTGCGCGCTTTCCAGATGTTGCAAAGCCCCACGATGCCAGTGCCCAGAAGCAACAAGTCCGAAACATGTGAACCTAGATTGTATCGTGATTCAGTCCAGCGTGAAACGTGTTGTGCTGAGTAAACGCCGGGTGCCCAGTTGCTTGATGCATAGTCTCGTCTGTTGCTGGGTGCGTCTGAAGAGCTCGGTTTACAAGCCAGGACCGTGCTGTACAGCACGGCACAGACCGTTCAACCTCCGAAACGGGGCGTAAAGCGGATGAGGTGCAAGGCGGGTTGGGGGTAGTAGGGTACAGGGTTGGGGGATGCAACAATACCGCTCGCTCCCCATCAGACACAGTGTCACGCTCAGACCGAGAGACCGGTGGGCTCGTGAGCGCGGGAGGGGTTGCGCCCCTGCTTGTCCGCATGCAGGCAAGAGAGAGAGGGGGAGAGAGAGAGAGAGAGATAGAGAGACAGAAAGAGAGACAGATTGGGAGGGAGAGAGAGAGAGAGAGAGGCTCGCTAGGAGGCCTGAAACATGAAAACTTTACGACATGCACCTAAACGGCAGAATATGTGCAGTTGCTAGCAAGTACCTAACTCATTCGCTCAGCCCGTGGAGAGCCCGAACCGTAGTCGCACGTAAAACCGTGCACACCTCCAACAGAACGGGCAGCTCCCGCGGGGGCTCGCCCTCAAGCCTGGGGAAAGATAAGGGAGAGAGGGGGAGAGAGGGAGATAAAGAGAGAGAGTGAGATAGACAGTGAGCAAGTGAGCCAGCGAGAGTGAGCGGATGAGTGACAGTGAGCAAGAGTGAACAACAGTGAGCGACCAAAGACAGAAGAAGAGAAAGACAAAAGAGGAAGATGCAGATAGAGGGAGGATGCCGAGGAGCATACCGCTTCATATTCTTTCTACGTTTCAGTGAGCTCTGAGAGTGGCTTCTACAGCAAGGTCCGGTCCTTGGAAGATCCCTTTGTGTACGTTGAGTACGCTTGAGTGGTTCGTACTGCTGCAACCTACGTGATGCTAGTGCCCAAGGCCATAAACACGATGCAGAACTCGAATTGTCAGCATCCTTTTATTTCCCAAAGCGCGATGCCGTGGACGATACCGTTGGACACCCTCGCCACTTTGTGATGGTGGCCTAACCAATGAACCAATGGTTCCCATGTACTCAGTAAGCCAGTGTGAGGGGAAATTAACCAGTGCAACGCAGAAGCCGGCTGGCCGATTCACACCCCAGCCCGGCCTGTCTGCCCGTGGACCCGAGGTTCGGAAGACACGGTGTGACGAGTGATGCTATGGGAGTTTCGTCAGCAATGCGCAGGCCACTGGTGGAAAATGGAGGTGGCATCTCTGGTAGCGGCGGGCATGATCATGCTTGTGTTGCTCCTGCCTCTAGCCACCCGCTTCAGGGCTGTGGCACCTTCATCTGCGCTCGGCCCTCCCGCATCTTTGAATGCAAAGGCCAACTAAGGGGGAATCACCAGACCGCTTGAATGTGGGCGAGCTCGCGCCAACGAAATACACACAAAGGCTACGCAAAGCTTATAGGGCTTGCATCCTTATGCTGTCAAAAACTGCCTGAGGCCTGACTGTCTGCGGCCATTGCCCAATTAGCACGAACAAATGTTAGAGGGCCCATAGCCAAAAACTGAGTCCTGATGCTGAACTTTTTTGGAGTGTATCTGCACGGTGGGGCCTCGGGCGTACCTGCAAAGTGCAATCCGGGCCATGTTCAGGCCCTGTACCCTCAACGAAAAGCTTGAATCATTGCCCCAGCTGTACCTTGACCTTGACTCCTTTTCAACTAAAATCTTAAAACCGAGACGCTTCAGACTGTTGGTTAGAGTTTGGCTCGGAGCAACTTTAGCCCAAGCAGTTTTGATAGAGTTTGTTCGACACGGTGTGGGGACACTGGCAAAGCTCTCAGCCGACGAACGATTTTAAGTTGGCCTTCGGTGAACACGCCGGCATGGCAAGTCTGGTCGCCTCAGCATTGCGTCAGAGCCTCATGTCTTGAAATGTGTCAGTTTGACCACCTGCAGCCCAAATCCAGCATAATCCGGAACGTGTTTGCAGGTAGCAAGCTATCGAAAATGGGGTCCAGCACTCTGACCGCTGTGTCCGAAGGACGCGGCCTCGGTGGGATGGGCGGTGTTCTGAGTCGCTTGCCAGCCTGTACCACCCAACCCATCGTCTGAACAGGCATCGCTGTTGGGGCAGATCTTCTGCCCTGGGGCCCTCAGACGCAGGACCTGATTGTAGTGTTTGTCATGTGGCCATGTGTTTCGCTCGTTTGCTTGGCAGGACCGACGATTTTATCACAACCGTGGTGTGCGCATGCTGACGCTGCAACGCGACACATCGGTACACTTTCTTTCCAAGCAGTGGAAAGGTATTGCTTCATTGCAGCGAATGTCCTTATGCTATCCGGAATCCGTCGGTGGCACGCGAGAAGCCGAGACATCATGTTGCAGTAGCTTTCGGGCAGTTTCCGGATCCATCCCCGCGACACTGCCGAAGTTCCAAGTCTTGCCGTGGAGTGCAGCGCAAACGTGAGGCACAAGCAGGCCTTCGCAGCATATTGTGATTGGGTAATACGCCGCACAAAGAAAGGTCCTGACCAATCCTCAGATTCGGTCTCGGTGGTGTCATCCTCAGTTGCTGAGATGGCACACAGTGGTGCAATCGCATGATTTGCGCTGAGGTCAACCTAGTTCTCTGAGTACTTGCGTCAGTGGGTGGAAGGGCAGCGGTCAGTGGCCTGGTTGACAAGTTTCTGGCACGGTGCATGACCTTCAGCACAAATGCTAAAAGCCCTCACTGCAAACGGGCACTTCCAAGGCTCGCCGGCGTTGTCAAGATTCGCAACGGGCTGACAGCGTGTCTCATCGTCGCAATCTGTGATGGTCGGGATGCTGCACAGCACTCAGAATTTCCTTGAGATCTCCGCCCTGAGTCTGAAGGCACCATCATGTTTTGGATGCATATGACACGATTCGTCAGGCCTTGTGGCATGATCGTCATCCTAGCCTAGACTGTGATGCAGAACAACTCACCACAGCGAAGGTAACAGATTTCGCCGAAGAGATTCTGTCTTCAGTTTCGCTGAGTTCTCAGAGTTTCAAAGAAGATTCTGCTTACAACACCTTCCAAGCCGACAGAGGAACGGGAAGCGTGCTAGAGTTGCTGCCCCATCGGAAAGCGGTTCGAAATGAGCTATGTGCATCCTTGAGAGGACTCGATTGGGCTTTCTGTGCAGCCTTACGATGAATTTGGTTGAAATTGTTGTCAGTGAGTGTTGTCCCTCTCAGGTGATGTTGTATTTCATTGGCATCAAAGCTACCTGCACGGCAGGACGCAGAAGGGATCGGAATCCTGGAGCAGCAAGCAGGCAACATTCATGATCTGAAGGGCCATGTCTCTCGTATGCACCTGCGCTGTTGCCCCCGCACGCACCCACACGTACACCAGCCTATGCACCAGAAGCGCTTCGTCGCTGGCGCTTTTGACTGCCCTGGCAGCTTCGACCTCATCTGCAGGTTGATGTGGCTATGCCCTGCCCGAAATGTGGACTCGACAGCTGAGGTCTCCTCCCTTTTCCTGCCTAACCAAAGCTCCAGGCTCCCTTCCGTTGCCATCTTTGCGTCAGCAGCTGTGTCATGCACCGCAGGTAGCATGCAATCCATCAAGTGAGTGTTGCAGCCGCTTTCGTGATGGTGGGTGCCGCATGAAAAGTCACACAGACACGCACTGAGCGTGGCTGCTACAGCATCCTTTGCCGGCGTGTCCCCTCTTGCCCAGAGTGGTTGACGCAGAATCTCCCGCAGCCGGTCTGTTCCCAGCTGTGCGGATACCCATGTAGATCTCGCTCATCTCATGCTCCAGTGCACCGCCTGTCAAAACTTCGCAGGCAGATTGTGTGCAGCAGGTGGTCCCTGGCACAAATAGCTGTCATAGGCGGACCTGGATTTCATTCAACAAAGCAAAATAGTGAAGACCGACAACAAATCAGTGATCCCTATCACCAACTTGGCTCCCGAAGTTGCCAGGGCCTCAGCGTTGGCGTGTCGAGCCTATGAAGTACCAGTAGCTCGTTTGCCGACAATGTTTTACGTGAAAACGTGGTCGGAGACGTCCATGTCACATTTGAGTACTTCCTTGCAAGAGGTGGAGGCAATAATTGGGCTTTTGGTGGTTGCCGGCCTCGCGCTTTCTAGCATGATTCGTGATGGCTCTGAGTTAGAGTTTAAGGATCACGGGGAGTGCAATTGGTTCTGAGGCTTCCTATTTCGATCAGTCGAGGCTTCAGGGCTCTGGGACAAAGAGTTCGGGAGATTGGGCTTTCGGGTTCTGCATGACTAGGCCCAAGGTGCTTTGCAGGTGAGCCCTCGCACTGAATCGTCGAATTCCTGGGATCACAACACCCTGAACCCTGAGCCAAAGACCACCTACCCCCACCCGAGATACCAGAACCAAAGAGCACCTGCCCCCTTCCAAGGGCTTCGTTTGGAGCAGACATGCTTTTACGGGATCGGATTTGCTGCTTGTGGATTTGTTCCTGTGGCCCAGAGCAGTGCTCGTCCTCGTGATCGAGCTACCATAGTAGTAACTCAGACTTTCACAGACTGCTACTCTGTGCTCCACATGGCATGGCCGCTTCAACCGACCTTAACTTGCCCAAACGTCCTTCAGCGAAGTTGACTGCAGACAGCATGTCTCGGATGCCATGGAGCGGCGTTGCAACTGGGACGAGGCTCTGCCAGTCTGCTCCGCGGGGGCCGATGCTTTGTGACCCCCGGCGCCTTGGCAAACGCACTATGTGCGTGGAGAGACTGAGCTGAAAAGAATGGACCCCAGCCCGCTACATGTGGCATCCTCTTCGTGTGAGCGACTCAGGTGTAGCTGCTGCAGGTCTCTGATCGAGCAGGTCTGTAAGCTGAGCGCCGAGAAGGATCAGCTGCTTCACGAGTCTCCGAGCTGCACTTTAGCACCTTCACCACAACATGCGCAGGGTTCGGCTTCGTTCCAGTTGTTAACACGACCCTCAGGTGCGGCAACCTTCGCCGTGACAGCAATGCTCAGTGGACCGAGATCGAGATGCTACAAAATGCGTTTCTCTGCTGCACTTGACTTGGTTCAAGTCATAGCCGTTGTCAGGTTAGCGGTTAGCGATGAAGATGCCATCTTGGTCAGAAGCGACGCGGTTGTCTTTCCGTGTTTTCGAGCTGTGCTCTGATGTACACGATATTCGACAACGGTGATCAACGATGGATGTGTTACACTTGGTGCATTTAGATGCAGCATGGCAAGGCTTTCAATCGGTGCCGAGGTGCATCAATCTCCACTTTCAGAACGAGAAACTGGGCGCAGTGCTTCTCAGCAGCAGTCGGTTCGATTCGTGGCCTTCTCTGGGCTAGCGATGAAAGTGGAATCTTGGTCAGAAGCTGTGGTGAGGCGGGGTTCCGTTTCCGAGTCTTCGAACTGTGCGCTGACATGCTTACACAGTCTGCGTGAATCGGCATGCAGGAGGGTTTCGTTCCAGGATGTTCCAGATGTGAGAAACAGATACATACAGCACGGTATGCGGTAAGAAAAGCAGAAGAGCCCAGGTGCAGCAATCTTTCTTTTCAAAACCATGCCCTTTGGACTCGCAGTGAGAAGCGACGCAAAGAGCTTCTCGCCTGCAGTTGGTTTGATTCCTGGCCCTTGCTTCCTGATGCAAGTGCCGTCTTGGGTAGGAGATTCGAGGCCAGTGGCGGGGCTCCGTCGAGCTTTACTCTAGCACGCTTACAAAGCATGTGTCAACACCCAGCTGTTACACACATATGCAACATGGCAAGACGTTCCATTGGAGCTCAGGTGCCAGAAGCTTCGCCGTGATAGCGAGAAGCTGAGCAAAAAGCTTCTCAACTGCGGTTGGTTCGGGTCGTGGCCCTTGCTGGGCCCGCGGCACAAAGTCCATCCTCGGCATAAAGCCTCAACTAGATTGACGAACAGGTTGCGTTTGGGAGCACGATCGTGTGGCAGGTGTAGGGCCGGCCTTGATGCTTAGCTCGTCATTGCTTGTTTGCCTGTCTCTGGCATCGTCCCTTAAGGCTACGCATCCAGGAGGAGCAGCTTTTTCAGACCAAGCACTGCTCCAACATGATGCAACTTGCCCGCAAAGATCCGGCAAACTTTGCCAGATGATCTGCCGGGCTATCTGCCTCCCAGATGAGGTGTGTTCATTCGCCTGGAGCGCTCCGGGCCGACATGGTCGAAGTTCATGAGGGCAATTCGAGTCTGGCTAGGATGCCCCTTTGGCCGCACGCCGGGTTCGCATGCCAGCATATGCCAGCTTAAGCTTTTGCTGCAACTGCCGCTGCCGCATGTCTTCGGTTGGGAAGGACTGGCACGAAGCGAGAAAGCAGAGACTCAATGGACTCGGTTGGTGCACACGAGCGTGGTTCTGCAGCTGAGCAGGTGCAGGCTCACTCCTCTCGCCGCATACTCATGCCTGTTATCTGCCAGCCTGCATATCTGCTGCATCAGAGGCGGGTGAAAGCAGCCCAGCTTCGCCTGCGCAGCCAGTGGCGCGACATGATGCAAGCTGGCGACCAGATGACTTGCCGGCCGTGCACCTAGCTGTGCTAGCGGCTTGTTGCTGCTTGTTTGGCCCGTTATTCCCGTTGGCATCGCGGTGGCTCTGTCCACCATTCCTGCTTGCATCTGCAAGCGCCGTGCTTGAAACATGTTGTCGCGTCTGCACTATGCCCGTGTCGTCCACGAGGCAATGACAACCAAGCTAGGGGGAATGACGCGCCGGGTTTCCATGTAATCAACAGTCCACGTAGGCCAAGAGCAATCCAAGGGTGTAGATGTAGCACTTTGCCGTGGTTATTCAAGAGCCTGAGACCTGAACGTAGAAGTTCGCCTGGCGACCATGCATGGGTTTGGAGTTGCTGGGTTTGGCGAGGCATGCACTTAGACTTTCTGTTGGGAGGCGGGATGCGTAGTTGCTACGCCAAATCCATGAAGCCAGATCCCCTCATCCTCAGCTCCAAGTTGCGGCGTCCTGCGCCTAAGGCGCCAGCCGTTAAACCGCCCGACAAGCCCGTTCATGACCGGCAGTGGCCTCGGCATACAGCTCTGTCCGCGAGAGTTCACGCTGTTTGTGGGCGTTTGAAGAAGTCGCACGCCAAAGAATGGCGCCCGACCATTACAGCGAGTATCTCAGCACCCATGCCCCACAGCTGAGGCGCTACAGCTGGGACTGCGCTTCCTTGTCCACCTATGCAGACCCCGATGCTCTTGACAGCGACGGCGAGGCATCCACTGCATCCCAGTCCCAAGACATTCCCAGCCCTCAAGCCATGCGCTGCCTCGACCCTTGGCCTGTGTCAGCTCCTACTGCCTGCTACTCTCAAAGGTGGCAGAGAGGTTTGTGGGATTAGAACGGCTCATGTCTCCGACCCCAATCAATCTCTTGAAGGCTCCACTCTACTCAGCACTCCTGAACTTGCTGCAGAATACACGCAAAGCCTGCCTGAATCCTACGCCCAAGAACACAAGGGGGGCGTCCTGCCCAATGATCCCCCCACTCGCACTGTCGCCAATTTGCTGGTTCCTTCCTTTGCCCCTGGCCGAACCTGTCTCACAATGAGGACTCCAAGGACGACGAGGAGCGACCTCTGTCATTGCCGCGCGCAGCGGTGATGAGCCGGACGCAAAGCTCTCAGACCAGTAGCAGGAACCTGATCACGTGCGGCTCATGTCTATTCTCGCTCTCTGAGACATTAACAGGGATAACGCTTGATTCTGGAGATGGGAGTGTTCGTACATGAGTTAAATCCACCGGCTCGGCCTGAGGTGGGTGCATCCACTTCTCCCCATGACGCCGATGCATGCAAGCAAGGATGAGCCGAAGAGCCTTCCGCTGCAGAAGATCATGCGTCTTCCCATAGCTGAGAGGCAATCGGGCATTTCACACTTTTCAGACGTTGGGGGCGCATCGACCGAGGAAGCTTCCGCGCAAAGTTGTTCGGTCGGAGCAATTGCAACCTCCTCAGCCAGGGCAATGCTATGCACGCATTACGAGCTTTTGGAGACTGGGGCTTGCTTGGCTGGTAGCCCAAAAACTGAGGCGCAGACGGAACATGACCTTGGCCCAGCACCTGGCCATCTTGCAGGCCAGGCACTAGTCACTAGCTGAGGCCTGCAGTTCTGCCTTGCTTGCCTGCGCCCGGCTGTAGGAGATGAGCGGGGACGAGGATCCGGAATCGCTGCAAGGCACACAGACGCTTGTCTGAAGCTCACTAGCGGTGCCGCATGGGCAGCTCAAAGGGCTTGCTCACGATTGATTGTCTTGGTGTGTCTACGGTTTCTCTTGTCACGCAGAAGGTATTAAAGTATTTCTTAGCCCAGGTGTGCAAAGGACGACTCTCAGATGAGGATGAATTGCCGGGCAACGGATGCCGGGAGTCTGGACCCTTCATGCCTCATCTTGCAACTTGGCCTTTGGCATAATCGGAGCACGGGAGCACGTGAAAGAATCCGAGCAAGTCCAGCTAGAGAGCAAGCCGCAAGGCCCAGCCTGTTGCCGTACCTCACTGCATCTTGCCTGAAACGCCAGTGGCTGGCGATGCTACGCCATGAATGGCAATGCACGCGCAGTAGTTGGGAGAATCTTCCAGATGATCGCCCCCATGAGTCCCTTCAAGGTGGATGACATTCTGGAGTGGCGTGTAACATCGCGGCAGACCCGAAGTCCCAGGGCAGGGGGCTTTGTGCATGTGCTCTTTTTTTCAATACCCACGTGCAGTATTCTGAGAAGATGCGTTGGGAAGACTTGGATGCTCATCTGCGCGACCTTAGGTTTTGCTACGGCACATTGCCGAAATGGGCAGGTTGGACAGGCCGCTACCGGGTCCCGGCATGGTCAGCAGCCAGATAGATCACAACATGAAAGCAAGCATCACGAGACCCGCTGAGCAGGTCCGAGTCAATTGTCGATTTTTCTACAAAGATTGAACTCGCTTGTGTTCACGGCGATACCTTCGATGCCGACGTCTGCGGAAACGACCCAGAGCAGATAAAGTACTATGACTGCGTCTTGACTTATCAGCATGATCCACAGCGACACGGTCTGTTCAGGGAATTTAGTCTGCTGTTTTGGCCCCAGGTCAGTGGTGGTGCATGCGGCTGGCGAGAGCGAGAGAAACCCATTTTGCAGAAAGCGACGCCTTCGAAATTGTCTGTCCAAACCTCCGAGACCTGCTTCGGCACTGTGCCGACGAGGATGCATCCGTGCGGAGCTCTGCGCACCATGTTGTTCGTTTCTATGGTAAAGGTGGCCTCCCGTTTGTGCGGCAAATGATTGCAGATGCCATGTTGACGCTCATGGGGCACGTGCTGGCAGACTCCACTGGAATCAGCCAAGCGGCCTTGATGCAGGTAATGCAGTGCACCCGCCACCTTGACAAGGTTGTACGTGCACTGGCGAAGCCTCAGCGTCAAAAGTGGGTGTCCCTGCTGGTCAAAGCCCTTGAGAGCCTTCGGAGTCAGGAATCACACCGAGAGTCGATGTTGACATTGATTTCCGACTTGAAGCTCCTTTGGCGAGCTGATGACGATCCCAGTCGGACCTACGCAGAAGCGGAGCAGCAGCTGAAGGCTTTGAAGAAGCAAGCCAACAAAGATGTTCGGGTTGCTCTCTGGGACCTGCTATGCTGCTGAAGTTTGTCCGAAACAATGCGTGAACAAAAGGTGTGTGTCTGTGTGAGAGCTTCCACCTTCCTCCCTATCTACTTAGCTTCCGAACAGTGCTCGCTGCTAGGCTCCAAATGCCGTCAAGGAGGCCATGGGCCTGGGCCTGAACTGGGGTTTTGGGTTGAACGGAGTAGAATTTGGAAGGGGTCAGAAGCTAGAAAGGACGATCGTTGGTTCTTTGCAGGTGTTCGTTGTGTCCGATTGCTTAGGATCATCTGCATTTCTGATGGCTTTCGCAAAAGTTGCTGTGGGCAGAGGACCATTAGTTTGCCAGACTCGGGGAGTTTCCACGGGATGCGTGGAGTCTTTAACCCCGTTCAGAGGTACCTCAAGCTACATTGCATCACGAGCCAAGGTGGTTGTCAAAGCGCAAACCCTGAACCTAAACCCTAGGCCTGTTCCACCTCCCACTACTCCTACTCTTCTACTGCTACTCCTCCTACTCCTGCAAGACCAAGGTAAATGACGAGGAGAACGGCGAGCTTGCTGCTACTAGTTCTAGAGCCAGTATTAGAGCACTGTGCTTTTTAGGCCTGCTAATTCTTAGCCGTGGCGGCATAGATTGGAAGGAGACGGCCGCCGGCGACAAGCCTAAGGATGAAGCCAAGGTAGAGAAAGATGCTGAGAAGAAGGAAGACAAGCAGGACAGAATACCGTTATCGCATGTGTGCAGTAGATGGTAGAAGGACCAGAGTGCCCACAGAGTCGGAACTGTGCCGCCATGAGTTGTCCTGGTGCTGTTGACTGCACGCTTCAAAGGAGTTGTAGTATCAGTGTTGAGGCAGCAGACGAACTCATTGATGGCTGTTGCAGCGTCGCATAGCTTAGGGGACAGGTGGGGGATCCAAGCCCATCCTGTCCGCATGCATAGTTGCTACATACAAACACATAGAGACTTAGCAAGTAATATCTTCCTCTTTATCTCGACGGCGGACAGGTGCACCGAGCATCAGAAGAATTAAAGCTGTAGCACAAGGAGGGAAGAACGGCTCGTAGAAGTCTAGGAGAAGGCTGCCTAATCGCTGCTGGCTGAACCGTCTTCATCTCCTTGCGTCAGAATACCTCCCACGGTCCGCGAGCACAGCAGGAGCAGAAAAAGGACTCCGAGATCGAACTGTCCTGCTTCTCACTTGTCATTTGTGTCTTCCGATCCATACCCCAAGCATTCAGGAGAGTGCTGAGTCCAAGAAAGAGCAGAAACCGGAGGCAAATTTCCTCTCCACCTTGGCTGAGAACGGTCATGCTTCATGAGATGCCCACCGGCGTGAACCCCGTTGCTAGGCCAAAGCAGAGGAGGAGAAGCAGGAGAAGCCGAAGGAATCGAAGCCCGAGGTCGGTGTGATCGAAGTAGTGCGTGAGGTATGGATTCGGTGAGGGCTGACTCCAGTATGTCACTCGTTAATTGAAGGCTACACCCAAACCCATTACGTACCCCTAGTAACCTCCTAATCTAAACCCCCGCGCGTCTGATACCTCTCCGCGCGTCTGATACCTCTCCGCGCGTCTGATAATACCTCTCCGTGCGTCTGATAATACCTCTCCGCGCGTCTGATATACCTCTCCGCGCGTCTGATACCTTTCCGCGCGTCTGATACCTCTCCGCGCGTCTGATACCTCTCCGCGCGTCTGATGCGTCTCCGCGCGTCTGATACCTCTGCACTGTGGAATGGGCACAGAGCTTCCAAGCTGGCTCTGCAGGTCTTCGACGAGCTGCAAGATGCTGCGGATGCTATGAAGCTCGTATATGCACCATCTCCAAACCGAGGGTTCTGAGCCAGCGGGGCTCCTGTAATGTAAAATGCCACATGGGTGCTCGTCGGTAAGAGCCACTGCTGTTCTGGCCAAGGAAAGCAGCCGAGAAGGCTACACAGGAAGCAATCACAGTTGGTCACAAGGTTTGACGGGTGTGTTCATGGAGACGGTCATTCCAGCTCCTTGTTTGTCCCAGTTGCTTCGAGGCCATAGCAGCTGCGGATAAAAAGGTGAAGGAGCAGGTAGCCGTTGCCGAAGCGGCCAAAGAAGCAAAAGAGAAGGCCGAGGTCTGCCTGTCAAGCGCTTGTGAGCTCCGAGCTGGGACAGCAGTGAACCTACGATGCTCGATGCATCGACTTGCCGTTCCTCTGAGCTTGTGAAAACCCAGATCCTGATCCTTCGTAGAAATCTGGAGCCAGGTTGGCAAAGCTGATGCTTTGAAGGACTTCGATGACTATTTATCTTTTCGCAAGCTTCAGGTACTGTGATCACGGCTAGACAAAGTATTTCAGCTATGCTTTGCTTAGAGTATTGTGAAGCATATACAGAACTGTATACAGACGAGCGAAGCCAGGACTAGTTTCGCCCTGGTGTAGAAACAGACGCAGGCCTAGCACTGCTTGCAGCTGACGCTTCTCCTGGAGAAAGTCCTCTACTTAGCATCGCAACTACTGTTACTCTTACTGATAATAGGTCATTCAACCTCCCCACCCCCAGGAGTGTATACCGAATAGCTTGTATGATCATAGACATAAACTTGCTCACGAAGGCGAGCGAAATCAATGAACCACCACCAGTCTGCCATGCTAGCCCCTCTCATCATCCTCAAGAGAAGTCTCGCATGTCTGTGCTCCCAGTTGTGCTGCTGCCTCGATTTCCTTTCCTTTGGATTGTTTGCCTTTCTTCCCCTTGCCTTTGCTCTTTGATGTATCTCTCATGCTGCGGTTGTCCTGCTGATGTTGTCTTCCTGCGTACTGGCCTTGCTGGTAACGGCTGCTGTTCCACCAACCTTTCCCCGTGCCAACATTGCTGTCCACATGCTGGTTGTGGTTCCCCGGGGCTGCCCCCGGGGATTCGCCGTTTTTTGTTATCTGTCTCTTGTTGAAGCCTCCTGTGCCCTGTCCTTTACCTTTGCCACCACGGAATACTTGAACAAGTTGGGTGACTGCACCTTGCTCATCAAATCCTTGCTCATTGTTCTCCACAACGCGCACCTCCCCACCTGCTCCATCATCCATGGGCTCATCCTCCTGGCACTGGTGTTTGACGTTGCTTGTCTTTGTCCTTCTTCTCCTCGGCCTTGCTGATGTCGTCAACAACCTTCTTCACCACCTGATTGTATTTCTCATCCACCTTCTTACTGACCAGCTCACCGTCAAAATGAAGACGATCAGGGGAGTCAATTGCAAGATTTCTGACATCCGCATCCTTAGCAACCACCTCCTCGATCGCCGCTAGGCACTTGGTGTTTAAGGCTTCTTTTGTAGCAAATGCAACAATGGCATCACGATATGCTTGGAGCGCTTCCAACTCAATACTTTTGATGTGGCATGTCATGCTATGGTGTATGATTCGCATCATCCCTGCGACATGTGCGTGGAGAAATAGTCACTGTAATACTCTGTGCACCCTCCATGGACTTCGACCAACACTCATCCAACTCCCCAAAGGTAGTAGACGACGCGAACGGGCGTGTGCCTGGCGGGTACCTCTTTGCATGAGCATCCTCGGCCATGGTTGTATATTTCTCCTTGGCCTCATCAAACGCTTTAGCACTTCGAGCATACTTCTTCACGTCTTTCATGAACAGAAGGGATGTTTTCTCAATGCTCTGTACGATTGCATCAGGTAGTTTGGGGTTTGGCTGTTTCATCAGGCGAATCGCATGAGTGGCTGCATAAAGAATAGGCAAAGGAGGCGTATTTATTTTGGGATTTTTTTTTTTTTTTTTTTGGCTTGTGTGCGCGCTTGGCTTGGCTTCTCGGCTTCCCTGGCTTCTTGGCTTCTGGCTTCTTGGCTTTTCGGCTTCTTGGCTTTTTTCTTCGGCATAGAGAGCCTCATAAATCAGTCCTTAAGTCACGCCCTCAACCCTAAGCCGAGCCGAGGCGAATTTAGGTCAGTAAAGCGGGATAGGGGTTAAAAAAAATTAAATAAGGATCGAAAAAAATTAAATAAGGATAAAAAAAATTAAACGGGTATCCGCGAAAGGAAGGGGAAAAAGGAACGAAAGACAGAGAGAGAGAAAGCAAGGAAGAAAGAAAGAAAGAACGAAAGAAAGAAAGGAAGAAAGAAAGCAAGGAAGAAAGAAAGAACGAACGAAAGAAAGAACGCAATAAAGAAATTAAGAAACAACGAAAGAAAGAACGAACAAAATAAAGAAAGAAAGAAACAACGAAAGAAAGAAAGAAAGCCATGCAAGAAACAGAGAAATAAGTAAATAAAGAAAGCTATAAGTAAAGAAAGAAAACAAAAATAGAGAACTAAGTAAAGAAAGAAAGCTACAAGGAAAGAAAAAAGAAAACACAAGGAAAGAACCAAAGAGAGTTGACAACTTAGAGAAATACCACGGAATCCGTAGGAAAATCGTGTTTTCCCCAGGAAAAACCAAGCAAATCCTTAGGAAACGAAAGAAAATCCCTAGGAAAGCAGTGTTTTCCCTTGGAAAAATTCAAGAATTGCTGTATCTAAAAAGCAAGAAAGAAAGACAGAAAGAAAGAAAAACGAGAGAGAGAACGAAAGAACGAAAGCAAAAACAAGAGGAAGAACGAAAGCAAGAACTAAAGAAAGAAACTTAAGGAAATACCACGGAATCCGTAGGAAAATCGTGTTTTCCCGAACCAAAAACCAAGCAAATCCTCAGGAAATGAAAACGAATCCGTATGAAAACAGTGTTTCCCCTGGGAAAAATTCAAAAATTGCTGTATCTAAAGAGGACGAAAACAAGGAAAACAGAAAGAAAGAAAGATAGAACGAGAGAGAGAACGAAAGAACGAAAGCAAAAACGAAAGAAAGAACGAAAGCAAGAACGAAAGAAAGAACGAACCAAAGAAAGAACGAAATAAATCAAACCAGAAAGGAAAGCAAGAAAGAAAGGAAGGGAGTATGAGATGAACAAAGAAAGAACAACAGAAAGAAAGAAAAGAAATGAACGAGCGAAAGAAAGAAAGAAGTCCATAATAAAAAAGCAAAGTTGGAAAATACGAAAGAGAAAGAATATGAAAAAATCACAGAAACAAAGATACAAGCAACAGGATACTACATAGCCCACTCGAATTTACCATAATATCGTAATGTACCGTAACAGAATATAACATAATGTAAATGTAACCTATAAAATATGCTACATATTATGTTGTAAATATACACACTGTACTGTACTATGTTACAATGTACTACACTATAAACTAAGATGTTGTTTTGTTCTATGTCATCTTCTGTTATATTGTATTGTTTTTTAGTATGCTATTATATGCTATAAGAAGCAAGGTTCTGTTATGTCAGAAAATGTCACACCATTTTTGTGTTGTCGAACCATCTTATGTCGTTCTTCTGGTTTACTATGTTATATATATTAGGTTAGAATGCTAGCGGAAGAAGAGACACGAACAGGCACGGAAGAACAAAACACCCGCCGCCGCGCTTTTCGAGACGTGCAAGCTTGATTCAAAGAGTGTTTTCGGCCCATCATGTGAACGTTGTCTCTGCAAATGGGGGGGGCTGCGCCCCCCCCAACCCCCCCGCTGTTTTAAGCCGTGCAGGGTTGCTTTGATTCTCCCTGGCTTCTTGGCTTCTGGCTTCTTGGCTTTTCGGCTTCTTGGCTTTTTTCTTCGGCATAGAGAGCCTCATAAATCAGTCCTTAAGTCACGCCCTCAACCCTAAGCCGAGCCGAGGCGAATTTAGGTCAGTAAAGCGGGATAGGGGTTAAAAAAAATTAAATAAGGATCAAAAAAAATTAAATAAGGATCAAAAAAAATTAAATAAGGATAAAAAAAATTAAACGGGTATCCGCGAAAGGAAGGGGAAAAAGGAACGAAAGACAGAGAGAGAGAGAGAAGGAAAGAAAGAAAGAACGAAAGAAAGAAAGGAAGAAAGAAAGCAAGGAAGAAAGAAAGAAAGAACGAAAGAAAGAACGAAATAAAGAAATAAAGAAACAACGAAAGAAAGAAAGAACAAAAGAAAGAAAGAAAGAAAGCCATGCAAGAAACAGAGAAATAAGTAAATAAAGAAAGCTATAAGTAAAGAAAGAAAACAAAAATAGAGAACTAAGTAAAGAAAGAAAGCTACAAGGAAAGAAAAAAGAAAACACAAGGAAAGAACCAAAGAGAGTTGACAACTTAGAGAAATACCACGGAATCCGTAGGAAAATCGTGTTTTCCCCAGGAAAAACCAAGCAAATCCTTAGGAAACGAAAGAAAATCCCTAGGAAAGCAGTGTTTTCCCTTGGAAAAATTCAAGAATTGCTGTATCTAAAAAGCAAGAAAGAAAGACAGAAAGAAAGAAAAAACGAGAGAGAGAACGAAAGAACGAAAGCAAAAACAAGAGGAAGAACGAAAGCAAGAACTAAAGAAAGAAACTTAAGGAAATACCACGGAATCCGTAGGAAAATCGTGTTTTCCCGAACCAAAAACCAAGCAAATCCTCAGGAAATGAAAACGAATCCGTATGAAAACAGTGTTTCCCCTGGGAAAAATTCAAAAATTGCTGTATCTAAAGAGGACGAAAACAAGGAAAACAGAAAGAAAGAAAGATAGAACGAGAGAGAGAACGAAAGAACGAAAGCAAAAACGAAAGAAAGAACGAAAGCAAGAACGAAAGAAAGAACGAACCAAAGAAAGAACGAAATAAATCAAACCAGAAAGGAAAGCAAGAAAGAAAGGAAGGGAGTATGAGATGAACAAAGAAAGAACAACAGAAAGAAAGAAAAGAAATGAACGAGCGAAAGAAAGAAAGAAGTCCATAATAAAAAAGCAAAGTTGGAAAACTAGAAGACAATTGGCCCGAAAGCATCATCAGCGAAGAGTGTTGCGCTACGTCATAGAATCCAGTGTATAGGGTCATGGAGTCACCGAGTCAAAAGCACGGAGTCACAGAGTCGGAGTGTCACATACAGTCAAGAGTCGTACAAGTCATAGTTCATAGGGTCATCGAGAAATAAAGTCGAGTACATGTCAAGCACAAGTCATAGTTCAAAGAGTCATAGAGTCATATAGAGTCATAGAGTCACAGTGAGACAGAATCATAGAGTCATAGAGTCATGGAGTCATCTATGTACCACGCACTTGACTTGATGTAGTTCACTCTATGAACACTAATGTTCAGGTTTAGCGGGTTTAGGGTATAGTCCAACATGACGCAGAAGTCTTCCTTTCCTAGCTCCGGAACCTCACTATATAGACATCCCTGATTACTGTGGTTTCAACGTGACTCTATGACTCTATGCATGGTCACTTTATGTCGCAGCAGTAGTAGTAGTAGTAGTAGTAGTAGT